GTAAGTGGGGGAGGGAGAAGACCTAACTGTCTTGGGGTCACTGCCTTGCAGGGCTATGCCCGAGTGCCTTCCGGCCAAGTTGTGATGAGCTTTCATGAATTTCGTGTGCTCCCTGCTATAAAGTCTTCCCCAATATTCAGTGGGCCATTGCAATTTTTCTTGCATGTCTCGTTTGTGCTTAAGTAACTCCAGCAGGAGGAGGAACACATACTTTGTCAAAGAACCTGCACATAGCTTTTGCATGTGTGCTCTACTCCTTGATACTCTTTCATTCACACATGACAAGTTAGTTTCTGGAGCTTGTCTCTCCACTGCTCTCTCTGGGAGGTTTCTGCTGTGCCTATCTGAGACCCTGCCTCCCAAAACTAGCAGTGAGAATGATCTCTCTGACCTACTGCTCATGGAAGGAACATTTCCCCTACCACACACACACTTTTTGGCTTTTCTGGGCGTATCTTAGCCTGGCTTTGTTCTTGTTATGCAAGTGTTCACCCAGTGTGAGAGCTGGGCTTGTTCAGCCTGGAGAAGAGAAGGCTCCAGGAGACCTTAGAGCAGCTCCCAGTGACGAAAGGGGCTACAAGAAACCTGGAGAGGGGCTTTGGACAAGGGCCTGTAGGGACAGGACAAAGGGGAATGGCTTTAACCTGACAGAGAGGAGGTTGAGGTGAGATCTTGGGAAGAAGTTTTTCCCTGTTGCCTAGAGAAGCTATGGCTGCCCCATCCCTGGCAGTGTTCAAGGCCAGCTTGGATGGGGCTTGGAGCAACCTGCTATAGTGGAAGGGGTCCCTGCCCATGGCAGGGGGTAGGAACTGGATGAGCTTTAAGGTCCCTTCCAACACAAACCAGTCGATGGTTCTGTGGTATTTACTCTTGTTGTCTCAGACTTCAGGAAGCTCTAAACCATCATCTCTCTCCTGCTGTGGATGGTATTTCTATGCTTGCTGACACTTTTCTGTTCTTTAATAAGAAATTCTGCACTCTCGTGAGATTCTGAGGACACTTCCTGGTATCAACTTAACATTGTATTTCTATGAATGTGAATTTCTGGAATATACCACACCTCAGTGCAGTGGTGACAGGAAGAGTGAGACAGGGTGTAATTGTGAATATGAAACTGGCTGAACATACACTCTTTTTGTGTCCATCTCCTTGTGTGGGCAGATAGCAGCTCAGAGCAAGAGTGTAAAACACGTTCTTGCCCAAGAGAGTTTTGCTTTTGTCTTTGTGGAGGCAAGATTGGGAGCTTAAGGTAAGGTGCTGTTTTACCTCTTAATTAAAACCCTGTCACCTTGTGTCACTGGGTGCAGCATACATAGAGCCTCCATGTAGTGTTTCCTTCTCTGAGCTCCTACTGACTGTTCACAGGAGCTAGTGCAGAGGCTTTTCCTCACCAAGGAGCTGGTCGGTGTCTCCAGTCTTCACCAGAGAAGTGTCTCGGGTCTCCAGTCTCCACCAGACCACCCTATGTTCTAATCTCTTTCCCGTGCTAAGCAGGCTGCAGTAAGACTTCATGGTGTTGTAACTCCTGTTTTGTGATGTGTCCCTCTTACTAGCTGCACTGATAGCTAGTAAAGGTTAAAATGCTTTTGAATGGGTCTGAGTATGCATTAATCATGAAAGCTGAAACCTTTGAAGCTGGCCAGAACCTAACAGGAGATGAGGAGGATGATAACAAAAGCTGCTCTATTAAACAAGTAGGTGGATGTTCCTAGGAAAACTGCTGCCACTGTAATAAATCTAATCCTTCAGGTCTGGGAGGAAATGCCAGCATGGCCAGGATCTCTGGTCTTAGTACAGCTGTGCTACTGGAGGCAGATGAATTCTTGTTGGGACTTGGCACAGGAAAGCAACTGTTGTCCCTTCCACAGATGAGAAGAGGCTTTTCCAGCTCCCCTGGCACTAGACAACTTGCTTCATAGTCATGACTAAGTCATGACTGTTTTTACTGGGTTAAAGCAGGAACTGAATGTGAACAAGTGTGGTCCAGGTTTGCTCGAAGGGAATAAAGCTATCAGTAAGGATTCAGTAGTGGTGCTGGTGTCTGCCTGGCCTCGGCAGGCAGGAGGAGACCTTTGTTTTGCTGCAGCTCTCATTATGTAAAAGTTTGAAATGCTGTCACAGTGGAAACTTGAATGAGAAATTTCCCCTCTGTCTTGCACATGGTAATTCCTCCTCCTCCTTCAGGGATGAATCCTGCTCTGACAGCAAGATTTAAATAGCTTCAGTAGGTAAAGAACTCTTACAAATTGTAAAAGTTGGTGCCAGGCCTGCATAGAGACCTTGGCATTTGGTCTGTAGAGTGTGCATTTCCCCAGACTTTCCTGAAGCATGAGGAAGCAAGCAAATTATGAAATGGAGAGAGCTGGGTTGTCTTTCCTGGGACCATCAGTCTGAATGCAAGAGCTTCTCATGCACAAAGAGGTCAGGGCTGCTCTCCGCAACCCTGGCTTTCATGCTGAGCTGGACTGGGAGGGCATGGATGAGCTCGGTGTGACTCCAGGAAGTCAGGAACTAAGCTGCTCTGAAGACGTGCTAACAGAAAGGGCTCCAGGCATTTTCCCTCAGTTCCTCCTGTGTAGTTGACTTTGGCCAGGCTCCTTGCAACTCGTAAATAGCTTGTGGAGAGCAAGATCTGTGGTGGAGCAAGCTGGGAACAGGGAAGAGGTGTGCTACCATACTGTGCAATGACCACATTTCCTTGCCTGTTCCTTTACTGTAGGCTGAGTTGAAGAAACAGATATGGTCTGGTCCTATGTTGTAGCCTTCTTTTGGTGAGAATAGTCGTATGTATGGTCTTTCCTGAAAGCCATTTTGTTGCACTAAACAAACTTAACTGTTTGAGGGCAAATGGTGGAGCTGGGAAAGGATGGTTTGTGTCCTTGGTCTGGTACACCTCATGGAGATGCATCTCTGTTGAGGTGCAGATGCTTGTATTTACCAGGAACCAGCTGCTTACTGCAAGGGGCTTACCCTCAGTTCTCATAAACAGGCCCTTCTTGCTGTCCTGGAGATTGCAATCATCTCCATGGTGAGAGGCTGCACAAACAGAAGCAGGGATAATGACCTTGTCGATTAAAAGGCAAAAGGAGGTTTCCTAGGACATGAAGCTTGCACTGGTTGTCCTGGTTCTAGATTGAACGCCCCTGGAAAAGGTAGGCTGCGAACACAGAAAGGCTCTCTGCAAAAACAGTAGGGCCAGGAGGCACATTACCAGCCCTGCGGTGTGGAGAAACCAGCAGCACCTGTTTGAGAAACTAAGGTGTGGATTTGTTCATGGACGTGCCCTTTGAGCATGTTTGAGAGGTGAGAGCCCATCTAGTAAAAGTTACCCAAATCTGCCTCTAACTGGCTCAGCTTACCTGCCTTTGATGTGGTTCAAAAGGAAACAGGCCTGCACTATGCCCTTCTTTGTTAGCTCAGGAATATAAAGACCAGGAACATCCCAACGCCTGCCTGACAAACGTGCAGAGCCTTGCTGACTTTGCCCTCATCCCAGTCCCAGTGTGCTGGCCTTAAATTCCCTTTCTTTGGTGCTCAAGTACATGTGGGAAGCCTGAACCTCAACAATGCTCCAGCTCTGTGCACAGCTCCTTCAGCCATTCTAGTTCAGGCCTGATCTCATTTGGTTTGGAGCAGCTCCTGCCAAGGAGCTTCTTCAGGTCTCTTTCATCATCTCACTTTATAGAGTTAGAGTTTTAGCAGTGAGAGCAAGAGAGTGTAAAATCCCAGTTATCCTGCTGTTCCAGCATCTGTGCCTCTTCGCTGGGCTGCTGAGGGACATTTGCAAAGGCATCTGCTGCTGCCTGGAAAGAGACTCATCTTGCTTGATGTTCTTCATGTTCTCAGCTTGGTTTTCTTACAGTTCAGCGGGTGGTGAAGATGCCTACAGCACCACTCCTGTTATTTCTGGGGATGCTTCTTCTCTCATCTTGTGTTTCCATGATGCCTTAGTCCCTTGCTTGGATCTTTTACTTGGAGAAGGCAATCAGCCTCTTTGCAAGAGAAACAGGGATACACTGGAGAGAAGGGCCACAAAGAGCTTGTGTTGGTGGAAATTGTGCTGAGTGGTATAGGTTGAGTGTCCTATTACTGCAGTGCCAAAGACTGAATCTGCTAATCCTGTATAACATAAATGGAGAACTTGAATAGGGACATCATAACATGGGCTAATGCAAAGAACTTTTTAGCTTTTGATGGTAGAGATGTGAAAGACCTTGTGTGTAGTTTTGTGAGGGTGCAAATGAATGTTGTGCCAAAGCTGCCAGCCCTGTTGTTTTGGGAAGGGAGTGGGGCTGCAGAAGCGTGACCCTTTCTCCATAGTCTTGGCAGGATGGAGCAGTGCTGTTGGCACTGAAGCTATGCTTGAGTCAGGCTGTCTGCAGATTCCCCTTTGCTGGTATCTCTGTAGAACATGGTGATGCAAGGAGAGCAGTGGGAATGCTGAAAGGAAAATTGTTCCTTGTGGGAGGGTATGAGGAAGCTGGAGCCAGGCTCCTCTTGTTATGTGTATGGGGTCAGGATGAGAGACATTAGACATGGCCATGAGGGAAACTTTGAGCTGTTAGGAAAACACTTTTCATTGTGAGTGTGGTCAGACACTGAAGCAGAGCCCCAGGGACATTGTGAGATCTACAAATCCTTGCAAATAATGCAGAGTTCAGCTGGACAAAGCCCTGAGCAGCTGGAGCTGGCAATGCTTGGAGCAGGGCATTAGTCCAGAGACCTCCAGAAGTCCCTTCCAACTCTTCAGTGGTAGGTAGGAAATGCCCAGATGATGTGGTTCAGCTGTAGCATAAGTTACAGCCTAGGACTGTGCTCAATGCCCTTTTCCTAGGCTGTCATGATAAGGAGACACTAAGCAGACCCCTTACTAGTTTTCTGTGGTAAGAACGCATCATTCTGGAGGTGCTTACAGGGACTGAAGATGCATGCCTGTCTGGTGCCAGTGCTGGTTTTTGTAGTATTTGTATTGTGACAGGCTTCCCCTGGCATTCCTCCAGGTACAGCTACATGATTGACAATGTCATTCTGCTGATCACTGGGACTCTGCACCAGCGTTCCATCTCCGAACTAGTGCCCAAGTGCCATCCTCTGGGAAGTTTCGAACAGATGGAAGCTGTGAACATTGCTCAGACGCCTGCGGAGCTCTACAATGCAATCCTGGTGGACACTCCCCTGGGTGAGTGGAGTCTTTCAAAATACCTCTCAGCTGTGTGTGGAGCAGATGTCACTAGTCTTAACTAGGTCCAGCTAAGCCTAAGTTGTGTGCCAGGAAGACAATGTGGCAGGTAGTGCACAGCTGTAGCTAGCTGTACTGCGTGTGGTGGCTGGGCTTGAGTTCAAGTTTATGCCTGTCCTAAGCCAGTCCTACCTCTGGAGGACCAGTGAGCTCACAGGGAATGTCCAAACCAGCACACTGGTAGTACAGACTGCTGGGGAGTTTGGTTTGTGTGAGCCAGGCCTTGAGGTGCAGTGCAGATGTAGTTAGATCTGGTCTGCTAGATATATCCATTTACCAGCTCTTCTGGGAACCATCATCTGCAATTAGGGAGGAAGGAGAAAGTTTGAAGAGATCTCATTTTCTAAGACCTCTCAATAATTGTCATGAGACACATGGCTTCTTTAGTGAAGAGCTATCAGCTCCTCTGCTGCAATGAGTCACTTAATTTCCAGCACTTTTAGTTGGACCATTGGGCAATTTCTTGTACGCAATTTTTATAGAGAATCAGAGAGATCTGCACATGCCCATGCACATGAGAAATTTAGCTCTAGATGGAGGAAAGCTCTTTATATAGAAAAAACCCCAAACCCAAACAGAAACAGCAAAAAAAAGAAAAAAAAAAAAAAGGTCTCCAAAACCTTTTTAAGTTCATTGTGTAGCAGGATCCTGTGCTGATGAGGAATACCGTTTCAGTGCTGCAGGCCTTGACCACGAGGCACATAATGCTAAAACCGGGTGTCTTACGAACAGCTATTCAGACAGAACATTCTTTAAAGATAAAAGGTGTATGGAAGTGGTTCTGGAGAAAATATGAAAGCCTTTTTACAGTAGGAGGGGAGGTAGTCACAGGTGACTTGCTAGTTTAGCCTCTGTGGGCAAAAACAATGAGGTACACCTGAGTCAGTGGTTAATCATTGTTTTGGGGTTGCTAAAAAGAACAAAACACACTAAATCATCATCTTGTCTGTGATAGAAATAGTTGGTTTTGGAACTGAAAGTGCTTTTACAAGTGCTTTGTGTAATAATGGGGCAAGTAATTGTCGTGGAAAAGTGACTTGCCAGATAGAGCCCAAAAGAGGAGGGGAAACTTGTCTCAAGAGATCTGGGTTGCACGGTAGGGCAATGACACAGCAGGAGAACTGAGGCTCTGCGTGCAGCTGAGTTGAACCCACTGTAGGGGTGATGTGTGGGAAGAAAATCCTCCTCATGAGTGAGAACTTTCCCACTTTGGGAATAACATAAGGGTATTTCAAAGGTACTGTCTCAGAGACCTCAAAGCTCCCAGCTGTGAAAAAAATTGAGTGAAAAAGCCCCATTACAGCAGCGAGGTGGTTCTGGAGAACGCATCTGGCAATTGAGGGTCTTTGCCTCTTGTGTTCATGTACTTGTACATGACTCACATTTGCCTGCTTCTGCCCGGGCTAGGCTGACTTCTTTTTCAAACCTTTTGCCCTAGCCATGCCCTTGAGGCTGTGTACCATCTAGTGTGGCATTTCTTCAGCAGAACATGGGGAGTAGCTCTGTTGCCTAAACAAGCAGTCATGTAGGCTCCAGTTGTTTAACTTGCACTC